CGGGCTGCGGCGAGGTGAGGTCCCGAGTCCGAGGCAACGGAGGTCAGGTTTGACAGCCTCTCTGCTCCGGCGTCCCTGCCGCCCCCTCTTCCCACCTCTTGCCCCGCGCGCGGCTGCGGTGGCAGCGGCCGCGCGGGGGGGAGGGAGCGTTCGGCCTGCCCGAGGTATTTCCGTGTAAGCTTTTTTGCCTGCTGCCTCCAGTGAGATTACTGACTTGCACGAAGTTAGGTGGGATTTGCGGGACTTGTAAGGGCTCAGATCGTATTAGGTTTCATTTCTTATGCCTTAAATTCCCTGTGAAGCTAATCAAAAGTCAGCCGAAGAAGTTGTAGCATTTCCCAGAGTTGGAAAAACTCTGTTTATAGTTTTCCTTCGTAGACTTGTCATCAGCTTTGGCATCCTCCTGTCACTTGCAGGCGTCTGGCTTCAGGTTCTCTGCTCTGTTGCATTCTTTACAATTTATAAAAATGTGATAATTGTTTATCTGGAGCAAGCGCTTTACGGTGTCAGGTAGTTAAATCTTACGACACTGTGCTAGAAGTGGAGCCGTGTGTCTGTGTGTGAGGAGAGCAAGGTGCCACCTTGCTCAAGACTTCCCCAGGAAGCAGGTGGAAGGACAGCTCAGAGCACACCACCAAGCTCCTGCCGGGCTTGCCCCAAAACCACTGCTCTGCAAGTTCTGCTTTGAATTGTACTTTGTGAGACAAGTAGTGAGAAGGTTCTGCAAAAAACTTGCCGTGTCAGTGGATGTGAGTATTGCATCTGAAAATCTTGAAGGTGGTTTTTGTAGTTAGGCAGCACTCAGGCTTGGGAAGAACGGTTAGCTGGGAGTGGGCCATGGAGGTAAAAGTTGCCAGAGCTAAGAGCGTTGTTATAAATTAATGCTTCTGGCACACAGTTTTGTAACTTGGCTGTCTGACTCATTGCGGCAGAGGTAGTGTGTGCTGCCTTGTTTGAAATGGCACCAAAACTTTAGGTGTTCATTGTTGTGCTTTTAGATGCCAGGCTAGCTGCCCTAATTCTCATCTCTGGCCGTTGCTGCCGACACTTACCTGCGTGTGTGCTGTGCTGTTAGCCATGGGAGTCCTCTCGCTAATGCTTAAGTGCACTTCTGCAGCCTCTTCTCTGTTCTCTAAGTCTATATGCCTGAACTAAAGTGTAAACCAGGAAATTTTATATAACTGTGGGGTTTATTAGTTAAGCTAATTGTTAAAAGCAAAAAAAGAAAATAAGGGAGTCGAATACAGATAACGAATTGCTAGTGTCCAAAAGCAGCATGTGCTATGTCGGCAGCCCCCTAAGATGGTGTATTAGAATTCAAACGATAGTAAACGTGTTAAAGAAAGATTTCATTACTATTTATTACAAGTTATCCCTAGTCCTTGATAAGCTTGGGCAGGTAGTTTTGATACCAGCATTGAGCAATGCTCACATAGCTGAAAGTGACCTTGTCCTGGCTCTGTTACTAACTAACTAACACACACACACAGGTTGTGCATTCATATCCAGGTATAGTAAACCAAGAGTCATCCCAAAGCTATTCTTATTCTTTGGAGTTCTATCTATAGTGAAAATTACTCAATAGCATAGTTTCAAATAACTATTTTATGTATCTGTGCATGTTTCATTTTGAAGTTGTAAGTTTTCTTCATTAGGAAGTCTTTTGTAATGTTACAACTTTTTTATAACTTCCATATTATGGAAACCTCTGTTTCTTCTTATTAGAAGAATTAGTAGAATTGGTGTAAGATTTGTTAATCTCTTCTTTCTTGTATTTGTGGAATTAGTAATCCAGTGTAATTTTTAGTAAACAGAAGCAATTTTTATTAAAATTGCATGTGCTTCATACATCTTAGTTGTTAATACAGTTTTAATTTGGATGTGTATTTCCTCAAAAGTGCATCATTTGGGTGCTTTTCAGGTGAGACTGACACATTTTTCACCTCCCACCATCGATGTCACAGACGAATAAAAGGTCAACCTGAGTAAAGCACTCAGTCTATCATGATAGTGTCATGATAGCTGCAATATTGGCTTCCAAGCTAAAGCCTTAGAGAGAGTTTGTGTTGTGTATCAGTGGGAAAAAAGTAATTTGTTATGTAAAAGATCGGGGGCTTTCAGATCTGCTCACTGTCTCTGTTATCCCTACGTTCTGGTTCCACAGCGCAGAGCAATACGCAGAATAAACCAGTACGTTCCACTGCTCTGATAGCAGCATTTTTTGAAGCCCCCCCTCCGTTTCTGGTCATTATTTGATCAAACTTAAGAGTCCAATGAGAAAGGGAGATAATTGCCTTTATGCTTTTTTGCAACTTAGTCACTGGAAAAAAAAATGTTTCTTTGTGCCTGCCATCTTAAGTCATACCAGTTTGCAAAAGAAATGCTGTAATGTTTGCTGGCTTATTTTTCTTCCATAATCTATTTCCTTAAGATGTTTTTTCCAGACCCTTGTACAGTGCAGCTTTTTTTGGTGATGGTGTGTGACATTATTGTCTTTTAAGTGGTACTTTCTGTTCTCTGAAGAAATGCTTTTTATAGGTAGGGCAGAATCTTACCTGAAGACTCCTTAAATCTCTCAGTGTTTTATCTTGGGTAAATAGTTTATCATGCGGGAAAAATAAAGTCTTGGTTGGTTATCAGTTGAAAATAACAGTAGATGAAATCATAAACAGGTCTATAAGGTTGAATATCACATCATTAACTCATACTGTTCAAGTGATGAGACTTGAGATCACTTTAAATGCAGAACTCTTGGGGAAATTGGATACCTGGCAGTTAATTACTTATTTGCGATTTTTTTGTACATTATGTGAATATATCAATTTCTTTAATGCAAGTTGTATGTCTTGCTTTAGCTTTTGATAAAGATTAGCTCTACATTATTGATTGCTTTTGTATACAAGTAGCACACTCCAAATTAGTTGAAATTTTTTGTGCTCATCTTGCCTGGTGAGTGAAAATCCTTCAGGCCTTTTTTAAGAAACTAGATCAGAAAATTAACAGTTGCCAACTAAGATTTATCTAGTAATATCTTCTATTAGGCTAAGCTGTTTACCTTGATAATATGTCCATTATGAATTAGAGAGACATTAGCATATGAAATAGATGAATAGCTTAAAGGCTGTAGTTTCTTCACAATTTAGCAAAACCTTGTAATAAATCTAGCTGGTTAACTGTTACAGCTGTTGCCCAAACCCCTCACCAGTTTTGGAATCTTGACACGTTTAGCAGGCTGGGAGGCTGCCTCCTGCATACGTCAGCTCTGCCACGGCATTTGCAGAACTGCGGGGTAGGGCTGCCGGGGGGGCCTGCAGGCTGGGTCCAGAGCCACACGATAATGGTGGCAAAATGGACTCCTGTTTATAATGAGCCGTGGATCAGAATTACAGTGAATTTCCTAAAGTTAGCCTGAATGGTTGAATCAGCAATGTCTTTACTGGTGTCAAAACAGGCTTTATTCGACTGTTATAAGAAAGGATTAATTTTAAAACCTTCATAGAAAAAAGGATATGACTTGTGTAGTGAGTGATCTTAGAAGGGTCACATAGGTTACACGCAGTGACTTGTAGTGCTTTTTTTCGGGTTCTCAAAATGAGAAAGTTGGAAAGTGGGTTTGGTGAGGCGTTAATAATTGCATGTAAATGCATGCATGTACATCTATTTCTGGCATCTAGGAGGTGGCATTTGAAATGCTGTGAAATGGCTGGCGGATACAGGAGGCAGCTGGGGTTTTTTGACCTGTGCCAAGTGAAAGTCCTCCTGTTGGTGACAGTTGATTTTTTTTTTTTTTTTTTTTTTCCCTCCCCCGCCTTCTAGGGTTCACAAGGTGGTAAGCAGATTGTGCATGGTTTCATAGAGGCTGTCTCAGGTTTATAACAAGAACAGAAACTAATCTGGTTTTAGCAGCGATTTTTTTTTAACATCAGTTTAGTAGTTGACTGGCATTTAGAGAGAATTTCATCCTTGGACATCATACTTCACTTCCAGTGAGTTTCTAATATCAGCCTTGGTCAATCCAACATGAATATTCAATGTTAAGTTCAAAGTTTCTTTAATGAATCGCTTTGGGCATTTGAGCTGACCACAAGTGGAGTCTTACATTCCATAAAGTATGGTTGCATAGAAGATTTATGTATCTCTGTTTATTGGAAAGTGGCTCTATTGGGACTGTGTGCAAGTAAAGGGAAAAAAAAAAAGGAAACCATGATCTCAATCTTGATGCCATTAGTTTATAACAATTAGCATACAAGCTGGGGAATCGGGCGCAGCCTTGAAAGAGATCCTCATTTTACCCGTGGTTATAAATCTAGTCTAGAGTTGATATTACCTGCTGTTTCTGAGATAGTTGTGTTTTTCTCTGTGTTAACACTTGCAGTTTAGTACATTGGATAAGTAACAGATTTCTTCTTTTAACACCTTTTTACAGCTATTTGATTAGCAAAATGAAGCCTGCAAAGCTGCACTATTGGATTCTGGGTTGGTTTTCTATGGCATTATGTTGTTGGTGTACTTCAGTTAAATTCACACAAAGGTAAGTTACGCTTTAAAAAGAAATCTCTGACAGTTGTTTCTTAAGACCAGAATAGTTTAACTTGTAATGAGTGTAAATTTTCTTATTTTATTATGTGATATTTTTGATGTGTTATTCTTCCCTTAGGTGACTGGTAAAATGAGGCATCTACATTAACTGGAGAAGAGGGGGTCATGCCTAAGAAAAGCTTTACATTTATTGATGTGTCAGCATGAAAAAAGAGCGAAACTTAAATTACATTCATTGCACTTAAAAACTTTGTAATCTTGCTTTAAATGAATCATTTAGACTTGTGATGTAGTAATGACAAAAATCAGAAATAATTTTGGAACCTATAACAATAAACTATAATCATCCCTATAGCATGAATTGCACCAACTGTTAAACTTTATACTTTTAAAATTTTTTTTTTCCTTGTTATTTTCTCAGTTCCAATAATTTTAAATTCTTTTTCATACAGCATCCCATCTGGGGCTGTATCAGTGCCGTGCAGCCTTTTGGTGGTTGTTCAAGCTCAAAATCTGAGCTTGAATACCAATGAGCCATGGGGGAACCCATGCTCCAGATCACACCCTTCTGTGGTAAAAGCTCGAATTCCTATTGCATTATATCAGGAAATAAACTTTTTTCCTTCCTTCCAACGTTTTGGCAAGAGAATTGTTAAGGGTGCTCAGTTCAGTGCTGAACTTTGTATAATGGCTACATTGCAGCTGGTTGGTAGCTTAGACACTATGCTGAAGTTTCTGAAATCCCTAGGACTTGGGCTATGGCTTGGCCATCTCAGTGGAAGAGGCAACTTTAGAGGCACAGTGCTGAACTGCACCGGGCAGGATAACTCGGGTCAAAAAAAGGGGAGATATCGCTGAAGTTGGATAGGTATTGAAAATGGCTTTCCTTGGATGCCAGTTCTGAGCTTAAGTTTCTAAAACTTGGTCTTTTTAATAACCAAAATTTTCTGACCTATCCTTAGCCAAAAGGTGTGTTCTAGGGGAACTTGTTCTGGCATGATTGTCGTTGCAGTTCAGCTGTTATTTCAAATACAGGTGAAAGATGGTATTTTTCTAAGCAAGGATTTTTTAAAGCAAGGAAACTAACTGCTCTACGATATTGGGGAATTTTTCTATTCAGGTTTCCAACCTGAATAGACCAGTTAGAAGTGTTAATAGTTTTCATTGTGGCTATGCCTGATCTGTTCCAGAGCTATTCTGCTAAATTATTTAAAAACCACAGATACATGTGAACGCTTAAGAGAAAATGTGGCCATTGCAAACTAGCAAAACTAGAGGAAAAAGTTGAGACGTGTTGTAACATGGGAGCATCCCTACTTCCTCAGGTTGAGAAGAATTAGCTTTTTCTCATATTTTTTAATATAACCTCTGGCAAGCACTAATGAAGGACATGTAGCTATTAGCTTCCAGAGAATAACAATTTATTTTCACAGTACTGCACATCATGCTGTCAGTTTGAACAATTTACAGTTCTGTTTTTGTTGACTTTCCCACTTGCTGTTCTATTTAACCACTTAGTGTGGTTGCTTAATAGCTAAATATATTTGCTGTAGTGTCTGAAGCAACAGGGGTTTTATCTACTTCTAGTTTATCCAGAATAGGTCTGCTCCAAACTATTGGAAAATGCCTCTGCAGTAGTGGCAAAGACATGATATAGGTTTCCAACACTTTTTGTACAAAATTTGTAAGCTTTTTTTTTCTCTCTGCATAGGAATAAGATAGTACTGATGCTTCTGAGTTACAGATCTCTTTATTCTAAGAGGCTGTAACAACAAGTGCTTCTGTAAAATATGGGATATTCCTTCTTTAGTTCTTCCTTAGGTAACCTTAAGACTGTGTCACAGTTTGATTATTTAAGTGTTTTAAAATTGCTTAATTTCTAGTAAGCATTTTAAAAATGTAGTGTTTGAATTAAATGTCTATAAAATTATAAAGTCAGCATTTTTGCGCTTTATGGTTTTTACTTTTCATTCTGAATTTTTTTTTGATCTAAAAGGTTGGAGGCACTTGCAGGATCAAATTGCATCTCCTGTAGTGTCAACTACATTGCTTGTGGTTGTTTGTAGTCTTTCTCTTTTAGAAGCGTAGTTACAGTTCCAAGAATGTTGTTATACTTTCTTTTCAGCTAATATACCCATCAAGAAGAGTTAGAAGATTCCTAACATCCTAAACAAAGATATCTTTGTTTTTTACTTATTGTTGTAAAAGCTTGCCAGTAAGCACTCTCCTAAATATAAAACAGAACAATACGTTTCTTCCATATTTAAGAAATGGAAAGCATAGGGAGGTAGGATGCAAGGAGTGGCATTTGTTTAACAATGGGGGGAGGTATTAGCAGGTTTCTAAATATGTTGTTCCTAAGTGATTTGTTAGTTTGGTCCTACTGTGTTTGGAGTTCTCAAATATTGTGATAGAAGCTATAAACAACAACCAGCTCTAAAATCAATGCGTTATACTAGGAAGCATTGTGCTGCTGGCTGAAGGTGTTGCTCTTTTTAAAATGCTTGAGGAAAAATAGATTTCTCTGTCTTTTTCCAGTGACAACCACCCTCATACCTGGAAAAAGCTGTATCTTGCTCATCATTGGCCAGTGACTGTATGTAAGGTGAGATTTTTGTGTTTTGTTCTCTTTTATCCTGACAAAGGTAGCGTTGGACAATAAATGTTTGAAAACAGAATGAACGAAGCCCATCAAGCATTTAACCTTGCTTATGCCCTTATATCTTTATAAAGGCTTTTGCTGATCTTCGTGCAACTTCTGCTACTTCCCCTGCACTCCAGAGTAGCAGTAAACAAGACAGGATTGTGGTGTGTTACAGATATAGTAGTCAATGTAGGACATACTGTACACTAAGCCTTAATTGCTTGTTACATATTTTATGATGTCTTGTTAGTTGTAAACTTAATTCTAGACTTTCACCAGACTCTGTAAGGATACTTGCCTGCCTTGTCTGACTGAAGAACTGTAGATTAGTACTTGAACTTGCTGCACAACAAGCTTTAGCTTTGTAATGTTGGCTCCAGCGTTTTAATGATAAGTCATCAAATATGGATTCGGTCAGGAAAAAGAGAGCTATAAAGCTGTTATGGCAGGTGTCTCTGAGCATTTCTGTATTTGAGAGGTGGGAACCAAAAATGAACTTAACCTTCCAACATATGTCTGTCAAAAGCACAGCTGAGGTGTACTACTTATGTCCCTTTTGCTATTAAGTACCTACTACCATCTGATAAGTAGAACATTTTTCCTCTGCTGGAAATACTCAAAGGCCTCTTCTCATACAGCTAGGTTAAAAATATGCTATACTTCAAAATGGAAGATGTGGTCAGATTTACTGACACAAGGATGAAGAACCCTGTGGATAATAGAGAAGCTTCAGTTTCAGGCAAATGTCTCTGGAGCAAAAAAGGTCCCAATTCTGGGAGACAGGTTTATTATAATATTAGATTCTTACTTTTTGTGCTTTAGGTACTTTTTTATTTCTCATTCCTATTTCTGGAAATACATATAAAAGCAGTAGCAGCACAAGTCACATGCTGCCTAAATTTCTGAGGAAAAGTAGATGTACTTTACATTAGTTAAATATGGAAGGGAAGACTCAGATGTGCATGTCTAACTGAGACTAAGTGGCCACTGTTCTGTTTTTCGTTTGTTTGCCTGGTTTTGAGGGTCAATAGGGCAGATTTGATGCAATTTGTGTCTGATTTTCTGTTGAGTCAACACCCTGTTACTGACTTCAAGCAGAGATGTTGGTGTTCAGGAGTTTGTAGTGCCTGGCACGAGTGGGTGTTCAGAGTCAGTAGCAGTGCAAACCCTTGCTTACGTGAATGAGATGCAAACAATTAAAAAAAAACCCCACCACAAAACCCCACAAATCAACCAAACAAAAAGACCCTACCAACCAGTTTTCCCACTGTATATTCATGCTGGTTACTACTCTGAATTCCAGGGTAGTGCTATTGGTAAATTGACAAATAACCTTTATAAACTTACAGTGAAATTGTAATGAGTAATTGAAGATATTAAGCATCAGAAAATGTAGGCTTTCTTACACTTTGTTGATTCCTTACGATCTTCTGTAGTAAGATGTGGACAGAAGCATTCCAAAGAAGTGAAGAAAAAGTGAAATTAAAATCATATTAAGTGACTTTTTGCCCAGTTTCACATCACTGAGTCATATGAAGAAACGGAATCTCAACTGTACTCCCATAACAACTTTTTTTGCTAACGTTAATGTAAGAGGAGTTCCGAAATTCAGCTGTGGGCTTTTTTTTAAGTACATAGGATCTTCTGCATGTTCAGTGTATTTATATATGATTGCTGTATTATTTCAGGGAGGAAATATTTTTAATGTCATTCTGCAGTTTAAAACTGTTGATGTGATGTTGAGAGGAAAAATAGTTGGGTGAAGGAAACTGCAAAACTCATTATATCATTTAGTAAAAAACCTTTGAGATACTACTTTGTGCAAGTACTTACTAGTTTATGCTTCCTATATAAAGGAACCTGATTATAGACTAATTTGCTACACGGTGTGTTCTTGATATGTGTGTGGATGACCTACATCTTAATTCCTACCTGTTTTCCATATCTGTGTTCAAAAAGTTTTTCAGGCTTTTGAAGGCCTGAAAGGCCTTTTTTAAAATTTCGCGGGCACAGTTCAGCATGCCAGAAACTTGAGAATACCTATCTCCCAGCTCTTCCCGTGCTTTAAACTGTATGTGTTCAACTGGTGCTTTTTAATACTGAGTGTGATCAGCACAATTAAACCGTGAAGTAAGCGTTTTGTAATCATGTATTCTAAACTAACCTATTAAAATAAAATACTGAGTCTCATGGAAGCAATAATAACCCCAGGACTTAACTACTGGCTGCTGCAGTGAAAGGGTGAAGGAGGAAAACAGATGTTCTTCCTCATCATGTGATTAGAAATTCCGGTACCATGTAATTGACCTAAAGTGACTATGTCCTCTACAAAGATATCCAAGCTAAATTCAAAGACCTCAAGTGATTATGAATTTAACGTCCCCTTAATAAATTGTGCCTGTGGTGCAATTTATTGAACTTCATGTGGCTAATTCATGTCACACTTCAACTTTCTGGTCACAAATTAATGTGAATCCTGTGAGGTGGAAATAGGAGCAACTCAAGGGCAAGAAGAGGGACTCTTCCCCCTCCTTTTTTATGGAATTGTGAAGAACTTCAATTCAAGAACTTAAAAAGATAAATATTATTGCAACTTTTGCATCTTGGAGATGGCAAAAAGAGAAAATCTTCTGTGGGTGTTTCCTTGTGAAATGGGGAAAATCTGATGGAAATTTGTAGGCTGTTCAGTTCCTCCTCTGTTGAGAATGGGAAGGATGATAAAGAAATGGGTACTAAACACTGCTGTGGTCTGTCTTTTACTGCACATATGTGCTGATCAAATGAAAGAATCAAAGAAAGGACAACAGAATAGGCTGGTGAACAGAACAGCGTGAATTCAAGTTTGAATGTAGTGTTAAGCAGCAGATGAAATTAGTTTTTTTTTAATGAGATAAAAGGTTTTCCTAATTTTAGGCCTTGGCAATAATTTTATAGCAAAGGCTTAAAGGAAGAATAGAAACACTTTTTTTTCTTCTTTTTTTGGTAAAAATAGAAGTAGTCACATAATATAGAAAGAATTAAAGTGACTGAGGTGAGGGCAGTACACTATTGTGATCTAGCATTAGATCAAAAAGTTCCTTAGTAAAGGATACCTTTATTTCTTTGTATAAAGGCAGGTGTGTCAAAGTGAGTCCAGCTCTTGACATATGCTGTTTTGGAAGAAAAGAACGTTGTTTCTTTTTCCCTAAATGCCCATGTTAACTCATAAGATAACTCTTAATCTATGCCTCCAACTTCTCTGTGAAGAAGGTCTGGTTTAGATGTTTTTGTGGGTCTTTATCTTCTGAAAGGATAAACACACGGAAGGTTTTAGTTTATCAGCTCATGCTAGAGCAGTGTTCAACAAGAAGTAAATTTGTTTTATTTCCCTTCTCCCAGATTTTTTTCAGCAACCTTATACATTTGGTTCCTTCATTGATTGGCTTTACCCTGGGGTGTGGGGGGAAGGAGGAAGGGGGGGAAGGAGGAATTACAGACTATTTGGGGGAGAGAAATTGAAGAGGTGAACTCTCTCCACAGTTTCAAAAGCAAGGATTTTTCATAGAAGTTGTGATGTTTCATTACAAAATAACACTTAAAATTGATCTTAATTAAAGAGATGGCCTACTTAAACAGGGTGGTTGAAAGGGAGAGCAGGATTAAATATTTTACTTCCCAGAAGCTGACTTTTTATTTAAACTTGGGGTAACTGTATGTGATCCAATAGCACTACCCTCTCCTATGTACAAGCTGCTATACCAAGGGATTTGTAACTCGGGCAGCTCTACAGGTAACGCTTCTGTGACAGTTTGGTGTTTCACTTTTCGGCACGTCAGAGGTGAAAGGAGCTCCCACGCTTCTAGCAGCAGCTGTTTGTCCAAGTCTTGCTGTTACAAATAGGCTAATCTCTCTGCTGCAGCATTTCCTCTCAGCATGGTGGGTGCTATAAAGGCTCTCTGGCACTTTTCTCAGTGTTATAGATCATATATGGTTAATTTGGATTGGTTTGATTATTAGATTGCTTTAAAACAGGAGAAAGCAATGTTTCTTTTTCAAATTAATCTAGATATAGAAGGCTTTCTGGGGTCCAATGCCTACCTGAAAATATACATTTGTAACTGTTTCAAGTGAACGGTTGCCTGAGGTTGAATCAATCCTCCAGCAATCAGTATGTGATAAACAGGAAGGCTGACAAGAAGTGTTTTTGCGGAAGTAGCAGGCGTACCCAGCTTCTCAGACTAGTGTTTGCACGTTTTATGATACCGATTTAAAATTAACATTGGAAAAATACTATGGATAGAATTAAAAAGGAGGATGAATGAAGCTGGCCAAAGCATGCAAAGTGTGAACTAATGCGTTGTAGGTTGCATTGACCTCACAGTTCTGCCAGCATGCAGTGTAACACCAAGAGCTTGATGAAATGTGTAGAAGAAACTGCTAATAAGATTAGTGCCGTGATAGGGGAGACCTGATTCCAAATTTAAAATACTCTGGGCTTTCCTTTAGCATGTCTGAGAACTGCAGTTAAAGACTGGAAAAGGAGCACAATTGCACTGTTCTTGTTACTACCCTCGGTGGAGCGAGCTGGTTAGCTGTCAGGTTGTTTTTCAGGGCATGATGCATTTAGCTGCTGGCTGTTAATTTGCTGTATTTTGGGCTGGATAGCTGAACTCTTTCAGCTCCCCAAAGCTTGTGTCATGACGGGAGCAATGTTGTTTAGGCGTTTGCAGTGTGTGTTTGTTGACAATATTCCTTTCAGGAAAAAAGCTGTTGCTGGGTTTAATTGCTTCTATTATTGGTGGCAAGAGAGGAGAGGAAGGAAATGGGCACAGAACAAGAAAGTCTTGCAAAGTTTGCAGTTCTGCTGCCACTGGCCAGTGGCATGTGGAAGGCAATTAGTGAGATTACAGGCCTCTCTCTGCTCTTCTCTATACTCTGCTCTTGCTCTGGCATCACATAAAAGGCATTGTGGCATAATTAAGACAGGATGCAGAGCTGAAAAGGAAAGCTATTATTATGGGGAAAGAAAGTCTGAGGAGGTTGTTATTTAATGGCAAAAAGTGTTTACTAAAAAAAGCCATAATCACTACGCAGAATAATCAGGGAAAATACAGTAATGGTATTCTGTGATGTGTGAACATGGGTTTTTTTTGTTTTGTTCAGGAATATGTACTCTGCTTTAAACAATAATTAATGTGTAGGCTATTTCTCCTGCATTATCAAAAGTTTTGACTGGGTTGTTGGGTTTTTTCATAGGAATGTATATAGTCTTTCTTCTCTCCATTCCCTTGTCCCTCAAGTCAAAATATTTAAAAAATATATTCTAACCATTTTACTTGGAATAAGCAACCTATTTCATCTCTCCTTTGTATTTTTCCTGTTTAATACAACAGAATTACTCCTGGATGCTTAAAGATGGTTGTGTGCTTATCTAATATTATAGTTTATGTTGATGGTTTTTATTTTAATGGCTCTGCACTCCTTGAAAAAATCTGATGATGAGGAAAATACAGAAAGCTGCCACCTGGAATATGATAAATGCAGGTTTAGCTCCATTCATTTAGCATGGATCAGGCTACTTTCGATCACCTCAGAACCTGTCCTTTGTCTTCTTTTTACACTGCCTGTTCAGGATGCCCCATGATATTCACTTGATCTGCTTCAAAATTTTAACGCCAGTTGGTCTCTAAGTGGCACATGATCCATGACAGCTTCAAGTAACTGGAGTTCACTGGTTCCTGATTTGGGCAAGCAAAAATTCTCACGTCTCACTACAGCCTTGGACCACCAGTGAATGAACTTCTATTTTTTCCTCTAAACCATTGTCCCTGGACACATAAAACAAATATTCTGTATCTTTGTTTTCCACAGATGAGTGATCATGATTGTCAAGACCCTCCAGAGTACTGGACAATCCATGGACTGTGGTATGATCATAGAGTGTTTTTATTTCAGCCTGGAAAGGAAAAACCAAGTTTTGTACCAGGTTATTTAGTGCTTTTTTTTTTTTTTTTGAGGGCTTAATCTATCTGTTTTTATGATTCCTTGAAACAAAAGCCTTCATTTTGTTGGAAATAAAAACCCTATGATAAAACTGAAATACACTTCTGTATCTCATGACTCACTGAGTTCCTGAAATCCTCTTGCCACATGAGCATTTTATTTATACATCTCCTTAGAAGATCAGTGATGTTCTCAAACAGAAAGGGAAGTATAGTTTCCCCTCTTTTTTTTTTCTCCCTGCGTACACAGAATTTGTTAATGTCTCATGACTGCTTGTGACTTTAAGTATCTTAACTCAGCACAAATATTACAAAAGTACAGGAAAAACTAATTTGCTTCAAACGAATCAACTGACTGGAATTAGCACCAATGGCAGCAATTCAAAGGTTTTCCTGACAAATACAGAGAAAAACTCAGTACAGGAGTTTAAGCTGTGTGTCCTGGAAAGGTGAGCAGCATTATGTCTAGATTTCCAGTGAGTGTCTTGGTGATACTTGCAGAATCATCACTTGGTGCAGTGATTGAGGAGGCCAGTGTCATTAGTGACATCATGTGCAAGACCCTTCCGTATCGTTTACTCTCCCTGTATCTCTTACATGGTGAGAGGGACTGGAGGGCCTAACAAAGAGCCTCTGCATGGGAAATGTTTTTGCCATAATTAATGTCTTGAATTTTTACTTCTAAAACACTGTAGATGCTGGTTAATTGCTTTTTTAAATAGAATCTCTACCTATAATCTTGCATATTTAAAATTCAGGCTAATGATACAGAATAGAATGCTGTTAGTTACCATTAGTGAGCTAGGAGACATCTTTTTTTCACTTTTATTCTGCTTCCCTAGGCCTGACAAAACTGAAGAGTGTAATAGGACGTGGCATTTCAATGTCACCGAGATTAAGGTATTTATTTAAAGCAAAAACAGTTGTACCAACCAGAGCTGAGTGCAATTACTTTTGCACACCCTATATGCAAAATCTGTAGCTTATAACGTATCACTCTTAATGTTTGCTGAGAGGTATGTTCTTCTAAAGATTCCACAAATTCATTAGGTGCTTCTGGTACTACTTGAAGTTGCAGTGCTTGTGATCATTAACAGCTGTTCCTACTTGATTTTGTAGACATGTGGTTTGACTCATTCAGCCACATCCTCCTTAAAAAAAAAATCTAGAGAACATAGGCGGTGGATCTGCAGTGGCAAAAAGTACCTGTGAAAAAGAGGTTACAGTCAGTTCATGTTCTCTTCCATTTTCTACTGCAAAGTCAGAACACAGAAAATAAAAGAGTTCAGAGTACATTTTTCTGTGTGTTTTCTCCAAGGGCATTACTCCTTTTTTATTCTTTTTTTAATTAAAAAAAGAACTTCCATATTTCATTCAAATGTGTTGTAAACAGGGATAGGAGGCTTGAGCTGACAAATGTGAAAAGCTGCACGACTGAACAACTTCTGCAGGGACAGCTGAAGGAAAATCTTTCTTTGAGGCAGTGTGTCGGTATTAGTACATTCAGATATTTAGATAGTTGCACCTACCTGTTACCAACAACAGCATTTTCAGAATATTGGGAAAAAGATCTTTTCTTTTTCTGGGAGTAAATGTTTCAGTTAGGGATGTTGAAAGATGAGGCTTCAGTTTTAGAAAATGTATCAATCTATGTAGATTGTGTAAGAAATAGCTTTTCAACACTATAGGTGCATTTATTAATTGTGATATTTTTAGGATCTTATGTCAGACATGAGACGCTATTGGCCTGATGTGCTTCATTCGTCTCTGAATCGCACCCAGTTCTGGTGAGTACAAAAAACCAAAGTATTTTGGATATTATTTTATAAAAAAATCCATCTAAGTTAGTAATTTTTCAGGTGAGATGTTGTGCATGAGAAGCAGTGTCCAGGAGGCCACTGAAAGCAGTGCATCTTGTCAGTCTCATTTACAAAATAAATCCGTTTTCTTGTTAGAGCACCTGCAAAATGCAGCTGTTGAAGAGAGGGCTATGGCAGAGGTTTTGGAGAAATGAAACTTGGTGAGAGAGAGAGGGAGAATGTGTTTCCTCCCTTTGCCCCCAGGGAGGAGAAGCAGCTGCTGTTGACACATTAAATCTGAATAGCAGTAGCACCCCTGGGATGTCACAGCTAGCTGCAAGAGCAGCTTCCAGGCCTCTTTTCCTAGCTAGCTTCACTGTGTTTGCTGGCTTTGAGAGACCTTTCTTTTTGGGCTTCCTTACTGAGGAGGAAATGGAAAAATAGGATGCATTGGATCATCCTAGCCACTTGTCTACAGAATTCTCTCTTTTTACTTACTTTCCTAGCAGTGTAAAATCAGATCTGGGAATTTATTTAGAGATCGACCTGCTTGGTTCATGGGAAGGGAGAAAGAGATTTTGATCTCTCCTGACAGCAGTACTGTTTTCCTTCTTCTCCATGTTTTTCTTTGCTTCTGAATAATCAGGCATTTGGACCAGAGAGCGGTATGGGTGGTATTTGAGTTTGCACAGGCTTCAGTTCGAGTGCATTATTTTAAACTAAAATCAGCGGCCGTTCCAGTTAATTTGCTGAGCCATGAGCTGCATTGGTCAGGGTATGGATATGCAATTTGTTCTTCCAGATCTACAGTGAAAGCCGTAACATCAGATAAGAAGCAGAGCACATAGCTAGAGGCAGTAGCATTTAAAGCCATCTCAACTATAAGTGCCCATAAGTTTTTTCCTTTGGATTGGATGACTGTTTCCTCCCTGTGTCACTAGGCAAAAGCTTTGAAGGGAATGTGCACCTCTTTTAATCTTGTCCTCGCTCTACAGAAGACACTTGTCCTCAGAGTCTTAAACTGGTTCCACAAGTGTCTTATGGCAACCTAAACTTGTAACTGTCAAAAGTGGTGGTGTCACTTTTTCCTCCCTCCACTCCTCTGTTCTTGCACTGTGCTGGGGAGAGCATGAGTACTTGTTTCTGTGGTAGCACAAGTTTATGCCACCTTAAACTGTTCCTGGAATCAGAATAAGAAAAATATGTCTTAAATCTAGCACCTCCCATGCCCTGACCACCTACCTGTTCATAAAAACAGGTGCATACCAGTCCTTATTTTACTAACAGAGATATTTTGGTAGGCAGCATATATGAACAGATACAATCAAAACCTTTTCCCTTTCAATTCAAGGCTAGCAAATAGCACTGATGTCAATAGCTGGAAATATAATTAGAAATATCATAAAAGCAGTACAAAAGTCAGATTATAACACTGTAACTAGCATTTTGATTGACAGAAATTCAATCCCTTTCAGTGACGTGACAAGTGCACTGTAATTGGCAGCTCTGATTGCAGATTTTGTAAATGCTTTATTCATTCTCTGTTCAGAAGTAGTGTATGAATTTCTCTAGATACAACCATATCTTCTTTTAAAGTGTTTTCATTCCTGAAGAAAAATCTAAAAGTTCCTAATAAGAATGGACAATTCAAAAGCAGGCTTTCAAGTGAATAATAGTTGTCCTTGTGCTTCTCTGCTTTTCCATGAGGTACTTAAGGCATCATAAGGTCAGGGAATGCTGTGGTAGTGGCAGGAATTTGTGATTAGATAACTTTTTGTATACATCTGCTGAATTGATACCTATTTAATACAAGTGGGTCGTGAAATTTGAAAAGAAAGAAAGAATTAAAAAAAAGATGACACACCCCCCCCCCCCCAAATCTGCAGGTGGTCTTATTAAAGATTATACTGTTCAGTCTTTCAATAGACTTTAGAAGTGATAGAAGTAGAATTTGAGCTTTGCCACATTTCTTGTCCTATTTGAGTTTGTCTGCCATAAAATTGCAAGAATTGCTTTCTTTTGCACTCTGTTCCATGGTATTAGAAGACTTCATGGTGGAATAGAAGCAAGACTTAAGAGCAGGCCTCTGAAACATACTGCCATAGGCCAAAGTAAAAGTTGAGGCAACAGTCTTGTCTTAGCAGCTTGTGCAGTTTCGCTGTTCCACCCAAAATAAGGGTTAGTCTCTTCAGTTCTGAAAACTTCTGAGTGCTTTGAAAGTACATTTAACATAAAAGACTCCACTAAAACTTATACCCAGTTTAGAAATACTCATTTTCCAAGCAAATTCTTACCATTCTGACCTCCAAACATCTCTTTGTAATACACTGACAGACCTTGGTGTCATAAAAGCACGATACATATTTACTTCATAAATTCCTTCATTCAGTTTTTTCAAAAACAAGCTGATTCAAAGGAGACAGCTAAAAAAACCAAACACCCAACCTGTTTGGGCTAACTTAATCTAAAGAAACACCTGAACAGCACTTTTGGCTTGTTAAAGTTTTGTCACACTCTTGTGACACAAAGTTCTCTTAGTCAGCTTTGGAATGAAGTAATGGTTTATTCCACATCGGTATCTGTCTTATCTCCTCGCCTTGCAATGTCCCATCTTAAAAAGATAGCTGATGGGGGAGTGGGGAGAAGAGTGTTATCCTTTTGGTGGGATAACAGGTGGAAGGGCTGAACTATAACTATAAAATAACTTTTGCACAAATTCATATAGATAATTTATAGGAAAACAGAATACTGATTCTGAATGTCCCAGGTCCATACTAATATCCAAACCATTAGACCATCCTCTCCCTTACCTTCTATAGCTCTTACATTAATTTGAAAAGTCTCTCTTGCAGCTGCCAATGTTAAGGCCAACTCATTTATACATTTTTAACATGACTTATTGTCCGAAAGAATTTTTCCTTAGTTTGATGTCACAAACCATAATGATGGACTTCTTGGACTTCTTCCTTAGTCTCCTCATAAGTCTAAAATCGATTGGTAAATGATTCTACTAAAAAAATATATAGATGTTGCTGTAATTGAAATGGTGGGAGTGATCTTTCTTGGTTTTGCTTTTCGCACGTGCAGTATTTTTTGAGTGCAGTGTCCTACTTCACACATGCAGCTGTTCAGGTACTTGATTTCAGTACATTGGCTAGCTTGAGCAGCACATACATCTGCAAATAATGTTTTCTAAAACTTAAATTTTGCTTTTCTCCTATAGGAAACATGAGTGGGAGAAACACGGCACTTGTGCAGCCACACTTCCGGTCCTTAATTCTCAGAAGAAATACTTTGGTAAAGCTTTAGAACTCTACCAGCACATTGATCTTAACAGGTACGTAAATGAACTCGGTGGTCTACCTCTTATTTCAAACAGTTTCTAAAAGTTTCAAATCTAGCCTAAAAAAAGAAGTCTAAAAACCCAATGGCAGAGGGGAAATGAGTATTAGCATAAATTATTTTTAGTACTGGAGTTCAGAGGGAGGGTTGTCTACTCTGAGAAGCATGTCTCTGGTCACTTCAGAGTCAGCAGCATTCTTCGCAGCATCATTTTAGCCAGTGAGCCAGTAAATTTTGAGAAGCTGTGTCGGCTGTATCTCACTACCAAAAGCTATGGTACCTGCAAACTTTCTACATCAAGTGACAAAAACCGCCAAACTTCTGAGTCATACTGAGGCCCAGACACTTGTTTTTAGGAAAGACAGTGCTCTACTCAGAGGAAAGGACAAGCTGCAGGCAAAATCTTGCAGAACATCCTGGGAAAAGGTGAGAGGAAACAGAAAGAGAGGATGTCCTGAA